CTTTTCCATCTGCAATGGTATCTCAGAAACATCTGTGTTTTAAATGGAGTCCCTATCACTTGCAGGAATTCCTCTCTCTTTGTTCTCTGCTGCCTCATCTTGCCTGGAGTCAGACTCAGTTATGTCACAGTCATATTCAGGAATGCAGACAGTGCTGCCAGAGGCTCAGGATCAGAACTTTCCCATACAGAACAATATCATTTTTCAGGGCAATTGCTGTTAGAATTATATACCTCAAAGTGTACATGAGGAGGAGGTAATGAGGCAAGAGAGGTCCAGAGGCTCAGCTTCAGGGGCCTGGTATAGAGGCCCTCTCATTCACGAAAAATGACAAGGCAGGGCCCAACACATAGTAGGTACTCAATAAGTACCAAATGCATGAATGAACTAGTGACTAGCAAGATGGCATAAAACATGGAATTTCACCCACTTTGGTGATTTCACATAGGAATCCAATAGTGGAAGAGGGAAACATGATATTTGATCACCTGATGTCCCTGTGGGGATAAATGTGAAGACACAGAAATAATTTCCTAAAGATTATTATCCCAGATCCTTACCTTACTGATGCTGAGAATCAAAGAACATCAACATTGGAAAGGACCTTATATGCAAAAAATTTCTTTTAAATATCTACGATTGGCCCTGAAGTTCTCCAAACTGAGTTTTTATGAGCATCTTGTGGAATATTAAGAGATACTATTTAGAGAAAGAAATACAAGTTTTGAAACAGTTTTGGAAGCAACATGGAAAATAGAAGAAAATAGGTATCTTTACTGCTGGATTCTCACAGTCTTTTTTTTTTATAAACAATATTTGTTTATCATTAATAAAGTAGAGGTCTGCATCTTCCCTCCCCTCTAGCACATCTTATCTCTCTCATCGGTTTTAATCTCCAAGGGGTAATATAGTGGATAATGTTTATCAGACATTTTTAACACAGAATCACTTTTTAAAAAATTCCTATTGCTATTACAAAAGTTTTTGATACATGCTTTTGGAAAGGCTATCCTAGAACAAAGTTCCGATTATATTTCTTTTTATTTCACCTATGGATATATTCAGCACAAAGAAGAATCTATTCTCTTCCTCTTCTATTTCAAGATCTTTCCTTCCTAATAACATAGTCCTAAGACTGTATTAAAATATCTTGGCTCTTCCTGAGTTATTTCATGAAATTATGAATATATACAATGGAATACTGCTTGGCAATGAGAAAGAATGAACTCATGCCATTTGCAGCAACATGGATTTAACTGGAAGGTATTATGCTGAGTGAAATAAGTCAGAGAAGGACAGATATCATATGTGGATCTTGAGAAACTTACAGAAGACCATGGGGGAAGGGTAGGGGAAAAATAGTTACAAACAGAGAGGGAGGGAGGCAAACCACAAGAGACTTAAATACAGAGAACAAACTGAGCATGGATGGGTGGTGGGGGTGAGGGGGAAATGGGTGATGGGCATTGAGGAGAGCACTTGTTGGGATGAGCACTGGGTGTTGTATGTAAGCCAATTTGACAATAAATACGTTCATAAAGAAAAGAAATATGGATAAAAATACCAACAGCTTTTTTTTTTAACTAGTAAAGATGATTTTAACATTCACATGGAAGAACAAAGACAATGATGAGATAAAGAAGAAATAGGGGTTGTCACCATCACATGTCAAAACATATTATAAAGATAAAATAATTAAAACTATGTTGATACTGGCACGTGACCACATCAACAGATAATAGTGGAATAGAGTAAAAACCCCAGAAATGGACCAAGTATGTACAGGCACCTGAAATCAATGGGGAAAATGTGAGTCACACAATATATAGAGTTGGGATACCGAGTAGCATTAAGATAAAAATAAAGTCAGATCCATACTTAACATTTTATGCCAGAATAAAATCCAAATGTTCTTAATGGGCAAAAAATTTAAGTGTAACAAATGAATCATAAAAGCACTGAAAGGAATTATGGAGGAATTGTTTTATAATCTTAGAGAGAGAAAGACTTGACTATAATAAAAACCCAAAAGCCATAAAAGAAATGAATGAAAGATTTGACTACAGGGGCGCCTGGGTGGCTTAGTCGGTTAAGCGTCCGACTTTCGCTTAGGTCATGATCTCATGGTTCGTGGGTTCGAGCCCCGCGTCGGGCTCTGTGCTGACTGCCAGCTCAGAGCCTGGAGCCTGCTTCAGTCTGTGACTCCCTCTCTCTCTGACCCTCCCCCGCTCACGCTGTCTCTCTCTCTCTCTCTCCTAGAAATAAATAAAACATTAAAAAAAAAATTAAAAAAAAAAAAGAAAGATTTGACTACAAAAAAAAATTGAAGGTTCTACATGGCAAAATCCAACAAACTGGGACAAAAAAGTTGACAGAGGAAGGGTCAATTCCATAGTATAGAAGAGCTCCTACTGATCAAGAAGAAAAAAAATAGACTAAAACTGCAATAGAAAAACAAACAAACAAAGGATATGATCACCCCACAGGGAAGGAAATATACATCTCTTAAAAACATCAGAAAACACAATCAACCTCCACCATAATATGAGATTCAATATAAAGTATAGTGAGATATCATTTATCATAATATATGTAGTAAATTACTCTATGTAGAAAAAAATGTTATAGGAGAGAATGCAGTAAGTGCTGGCATATACATAAAATACATCTGCAGGGGCACCTAGGTGTCTCAGTGGGTTAAGCGTCCGACTCTTGATTTTGGCTCAGGTCATAATTTCACAATTTCGTGAGCCCCATATCAGGCATGCTAAGCTCAATCTCTCTCTCTCTCTCTCTCTCTCTCCCCTTCTCCCCTGCTAGCACTCTCTCTCTCTCTCAAAATAAATAAATAAACACTTAAAAAAAAAGAAATCTTAAAAAAAGAAACTGTATCTGCAGATTTGCCCAAGAAAATCTTAACACTGTTGCTTGTGGGGAAACCTGGTAGGTGAGAGACAAGGAAAGAAGAGAGACTTCACAGTCTTTTTTTTTTTTTCTTGTACCTTCAGAATTTTGAATCATGAATGACTTTGAAACATGAAAAAAATAAAGAAATAAAGTTGGATCTAAATAAAATCTATTTTTGTGGTTGATGAGCAATGAGGAGAGCACTTGAGATGAGCACTGAGTGTTGTATGTAAGCCAATTTGACAATAAATTATATTTTAAAATAAATAAATAAAATTTGGAAGAAAGGAAATAAAAAAAGAATAATAAAAAAAGAAAATCTATTTTTCTCTTTTTGCTACTCCAGTTGGCTCAGCTATGGCTAGCCTCTGCCACCACGGTCCTCTGGCTTCCCTGCTCCTGTAAGAACTGTAAGCACAGCTCACAGCCTTCATGATGCCCAGGGCTGGTTGCATAACTCATGAAATGACAGTTGTCCTCAGAACATTGCCACGTGATTTCAGAACACATTTTAATGTGATGTTTCTGACAGAGCAGCCGTGGCTTCATTTTGCAGAATATTTGAGCATTTTAGCCTAAATACAGCAGTTGGATTCCTAGAATAAAGGGTAGTGAAGGGATGCAAGTATGTAAATGTGCAAAGACTGGTTTTCTAGGTGACACATATTTAATTTCAGAACTGTAAATTTTATTTTTTACATAATTCTGATTAGATTTTATAACAAAAGTCATATTTATCTCAACTCAAACAGATCTATATTTTTTGCTTTTTGTCTCTTACCTTTTACCTGATAAAATTTGATTATTTTCTTCACAGCCCTGGGTGAAGGGTTGTAGGATGTTAGAGTGAAGGGAATAGAAAGATCTTCTAATGGTACTGTTTGGCATAAATAATCTGCTTGCTAGGTATTGAGGGAATATCAGGAGACCTCCTTCCCTCTGTATTTGAGCCCATTGCCCATTTCTGGTAGGATTCAATACAACAGTCCATTTCAGACTCTGAAAACACAAGTGGGATCGTGATAGTTTCTATACCATGATTATTACGCTCCCCAGGAGGGTGGTAAGGAGAACTGATGGGAGACTCAGGATAGCAGAGGCCAAATTGGCTAATAGAGTCTTAGGAAATAACATGAGAGCCTGCCAGCTTCATGGGAGCAAGTAATTCAAACTCAGTTCAAACAAAGTTACAGAGATTTATACAGGTTAAGCCTCCCTCCACATTACATAATCATGTTTTAACAACTATTCTCAGCTCCCAGTCCAACCCCCCCCCCTTGTATAACCGTAATAATCCCCAATGTTTTAAGCAACAAGGAACTAAGAGAGAAAGGCAATTTAAAACAGCAAGCACATCTTTGTTGCCAGTGTGCAGGAAATACATCCAATCATTCTTCTTGTGGGCATCTCACATCTTGTGCTATTCAGTACCTGCCTTTGACATTGGAAGTGTCCTCAGTGGATCCAGACATTCCTGACATTTTGAAACATATCAAATGGGTCCATATCAACCATGGAATTTCCTCTTTTATCTAATGTTCACATTTCATTTGCAAATTACAGCTGTTTGAGAAAAAATTCTGCAAATAAAACCAGTTTGGAGTCCAGTGATCTAGATTGTATAAGCATTATAATGGGAAGGTAATGGGAAGGCAGGATGGCCTCACCCACAGGCAGGGTCCTGTGGGACTTAGAGAGCTTAGAGAGGATGGAAGAATACAACCTGCTGAGGGTTTGAGATAGTTGTTGACCTCAGATCCCCTGAGATCTCCCTACTATCCCCCTATTGAGTCTCCTCTCAAGTATCTGAAGTATTCCCAACAAGATGAACTACTGTTAATACTTATGAGAACTCTACTCTCTTTTTCTCTTGTTCCCAGGTAAAGAATTTTCCCCCAAAGGAAGCCATTTTGGAGCAAATACCACCAGTTCTCTCCCTCCTTACTCTAGTTCCTCCATATGGGAGAGTTGCATATCTGATTGATGAGATGGGAACATCCTGACTTTGACTGGTTCACATTCCCCAGAGAGTAGGGCCCTGAGGTAGAATGACAACAGTGCTGGCCTTTGCCTTCTTGTTTTCTCTGTTTCAGAGTTGCTCTGAGTCCATGCACAGTGGATACCTGTGTTTCTGATCTGCCAGGAAGCAACCAAGGGCATCTCCGTTCTCTGGCTCCAGCTTTACAGCTTGCCTCTCTCACTCTGCTCTTCTCTTTTTCTGGGATGCTTTCTCTTTCTCTTGCATTTGACAAGATATGAAGTAACTTGGCAAGGTATGTGGGCCTGGAGTTCACTGTGTAGACTCATTCCTTCCCTCAAATGAGTCCTCAGGTCTAATCTGAGGTGGAAGGGAAGTAGTAGGAAGTCTCACTCTACCCCAAGTCCAAGCTGTGTTCTCCAATGTGATGGATTAGAAGCCCTTTGTCTTGGACAATACATCTGATATTATACTTTAAGTTAAGACACTTAAAAAAGGGGTGCCTGGGTGGCTCAGTCAGTTAAGCATCTGACTTTGGCTCAGGTCATGATCTCACAATTCGTGGGTTCGAGCCCCACGTTGGGCTCTGTGCTGACAGCTTGCTCAGAGCCTGGAGTCTGCTTCAGATTCTCTATCTCTCTCTCTCTGACCCTCCCTGCTCTGGCTCTCATTCTCGCTCTCACTTGCTCTCTCTCAGAAATAAAAAAAAAAAAAGACACTTAAAAAAGTGTCTATTTCTAGAATTGCTAGAGTGCAAAATGAGAAAGAGGTTAGGCTCCCGAAAATCTCCAGCACTCACCATAGAGTTTGAACACATGTGGGATCCTTTTACCTTAAATGGATCATGGTACTTTCCTGTCCACCTAGAAAGGGTATATGGATATATTAACTGCCCAGAGTTGTTGGAAAGAGAAAAATTATGGTCATTGTATAATAGATTGGTGCTCCCAGCAGGAGGCCTGTGTGAGTATCAATGACCTAACCTGGGAAGAAGGTAGGCACTGGAGTCAGCCATACTTCAGTTTGAAGTTTAATTCTTCTATTTACTCTATAACTCTGGACAAGTTATTTCAGTTTTCTGATCCCTGATCTTCTGATCCTCATCAACAAATGGGGATGGTAATTATTTTCTTGTGAGTTTTTTTGTGAATTAAATGAAATCATATACATTATCATATCATATGAATTAAATCATATACATTAAGTGCTTAGCATATAGTCAGTGCCCCCCAAATTGAGCCTGTTAGTATTTCTATGTAGCTGTAACCAGTAACACATGGGGTTCTCCTTGGGTCTACGAAGCTATACTAACTCCGATAGTAATATCTGCAATCTCAAATACAGAGCTGCAAACCTGGAAGGCCTAGCTTCTGCTTGCTAAGCATGTGGGGCTATAACCCATCCCACATAAAGAAGAGGGTTTCTCCTGGCATGGGAGGATGGGGGGGAGAATGTGGCAAATAAGCTTGAAATCTGTGGGTCTTTGAGTGGTAGTGAAGCTCCTGAGAGAGCCTGGCACAGTGAAGAGGGGTTGCTAAGCCAGGGACAGCCTTTGGCAACAGCGTCAAGGAAGAAGAATAGCTGAGGGGGAGGCACTGGCAGCTATAAGATGTGGGAGGGTGGGTTGGCCATTGCTAAAGCCCCAGCAGGAATTTCTGAAGCAGTTGTGATGTGGCCTATTTGCCAACTAAGGCTATGCTTCTGAGGCAGCTCAGTGTGGCCTTGACCTGGACCCTTTTGCAACAGCCATGGCAGTAAGATCCAAACTACTTCAGGAGCAGTGATGGGTACTACTGATAGGAGTTCTGTCTGTGTGGACAACAGGGAGGACAGCTCAGGGATGAGGGTGTGGTAGTGCTGGTTAGCAGCCGCGTAGTTTGTTTCACGAGTGCATTCATTTTTTAGGGCTGCTGTAACAAAGTACCATGAATAGGGCAGCTGTAAAAACAACAAAAATGTATTTCCTCACAGTTCTGGAGACTAAAAGTCCAAGTTTAAGGTATCAGCAGGATTGTTTCCTCCTCAGAGCCAGGATGGAAAAGTCTGTTCCCTCTCCTGGCTTCTGGTGGTTTGGTGTCTATTTTTGGTGTTTTTTGGCTTGTAGTTGCATTACCATGATATCTGCCTTCATCATCACATGACATTCTCCCTGTGTCCATGTCTATTTCTATGTACAAATGTCTCCTTGTTATAAGGACTCCAGTCATATTGGATTACAGCTCACCCAAATGACCTTATTTTAACTTGATTACATCTATAAAGATCATATTTGCAAATAAGGTCATATTCTGAGGTATTGGAGGTTAGGACTTCAACATATCTTTTTGAGGGCTACAGCACAACCCATAACAACAAGATAGCCTCAGAGGCATCAGTGGGATCATTCTTGGAAGTCTGTGGAGTTATCCCTTAGGCCAGAGCATTACATTTCTGGGGGGCTCCATTCCCATCCCATTGGAGAGATAGTATACCCAGGCATTTAGACAGGCATGTACCTATGCACTGTAGGATCAGCATCTCTGGCCTCTATCCAGCTGATATTAGTAGAAGCTCCCTCCTCAGCTGTGACAACCCAAAATGTCTCTAGACATTGCCCCCAGTTGAGAACCACTGCTTTGGATAATGAGAGAGTTGAGCTATTCCAACCATCAAAACTTAAGAACCATCTGAAACAGATAAAAAGAGTAACACTGAATGAAACTATCTTCAGATGGTCAACTCTAGTTCTAAAAACGTTTTTTGGGGAGATAAATTCCTATGCAAGGGGTTAATCTGATTATCAATTATGTCTACAATTATAGCAGCCTTAGACAAAACAGACTCTGCTCTAGGAATAAGACAGGAAAATTTGTGGAGATCTCCTATCTTTAGACTATAATTGGTTGAGAAAACACATGTCAAACACCATATAGGTAAGAGTATGGAGATGTGGAGGGTTTGTGGGCTCTTGGTAATGGTTCCTTTATCACAGGCCAACCCAGGTTTCCTCCAGAGTAACGTCCTGGAAGCTTGGAGGGGCAGTTACTAACAAAACAACCTAGCATTTACTGAGAACCCTACTGGCACAAGGCATTTTATATATAATCATTTTACTTCCATTATCTTTTTTTTTTTTTTTTTTTTTAGGATTTTAAGTAATCTCTACATCCAACGTGGGACTCTAACTTACAACCCTGAGATCAAGAGTTGCAAGTTCCACTGATTGAGCCAGCCAGGGACCCCCATTATCTTATTTAATCCTCACAAAAATCTTAGGAAGGATTATTATTATTCTCTTTTCACAGATAAGAAAACTGAGACTCAGGGATTAAATACAAGTTCCCACAGCTAGTAAGCAGCAGATCCTAGGTGTGAATCCAGATGTGTTAGCTCCAAATCTCATGCTCTTTCTGCTACATGAAACCTTCAGGAAAAGTGGACCACCTGGGACCACTTGTTTCATGAGAGTCTGAGTTGAGCCTTACCCAGCTACAAGATTCCTCCCAGCCGGCAGAGTCCATTCCCCTAGGCAGACCAGAGGTCAGAAAATCACACATCTCCAACCTGGATAAGCTTCAGTAAGGTCCTAATACCTCTATCCGTAAAAGGGAATCAAAACAGTCTTCTTAGAACTGATTCCTTAAGGAATGTGGGCCAACAGGACTGGTAGAAACATTCATAAGAGAAGATGCAAGAACTTCCTGTTCTCCAGCTCCTTTTTCTGGGTACTAAACAATAGGGATTTTTCAACTTTAGTAACCAATCATCATTCACCTGGACAGTGAATCACCTAGCAGATAAGTCACATTCCTGTGTTTTTAATTAGACCAGCGGGTCTCACCTTAGAGAGTACATCAGAATCACCTGGAGGGCTTTGCAAAACAAATTACTGAGCCCCACACCCATAATTTCTGATTTAGTAGCTCTGGGGCAGAACCTGATAATTTGCATTTCTAACAAATTCTTGGTGATGTTGATGCTACTGATCCAAGGATCATACTTAATTACCTTATTAACTCATGGATAGAGAAGGCTACTTCATGGTACTTAGAGACAAAGTTCCTCTACCTTTTCTCCATGCCAAGGCACATATTCAGAAAGTTTACTTTATGAATCTAAGTTACATCTTCACAGCCCAACAGAACTCAGGAATTCAACAGAACAGGATGAGGAGGACACAGGGCAGGGAATCCATCCTACAGGAATGACCTCCTCCTTACAGTGGGGTTCTTCTCTTTCCTTTGGGGGATCCAGAAAAAACAAGATATTCTTGTCCAGCCATGTAGCAGCATTTCCCACTTGCAGAGCTGAAAGCCCATGCATCATGATTTCCCCCTCCAACTCCCTGCCAGCACCCCCCCCCCCAGAAAAACTCTCCTTCACCAACTTTCTCCTTAGGAGCAGGTTGTGTTCTAGCTCACTGCCCATCTTGCAAACACACAGGGCCCATGAAGAGACATGTGGATCAAGAAGCAAAGTTATAACTACTGAGGATAGTCTGTAGGCAGAGGGCTAGTAATCCTTGCTGGAAAGAAAATCATTCAGAGTCCAGTCAATCAAGTATCAATACATGGGTCAGACTCAGGAGTCAAGGATGGTATTGAAATATGGCATTTAAAGGCCCCTGCGTTGAGTCCTTTGGAAATCCTAGGACTAATCCTCTGCAATCTCCCTGATAAGCAGGAACAAGATGCCAAGCTGACACTAAAGGTATCCAAACAGGGATTCAAGTTTCCAGGACTGGATAAAAGGCCCAGTCTTTTACTTCAGTTGGACATCAAAGGTACACCCACAATGACACATCATAACCTGCTTGGCTTGCTAAAGGTATTTGCATCACATCATCAGAGATTCTGAATTTTCTCTCCTGACAAGTGGCTTGCAGACAAATTTACGTAAAAATCTCCATTATCTAGATATCTATAACCAGTCTACCCATAAGCCAGGGTATGGGTATGGGTATCCTTCAAGTGATATCTTTGAGGTATGAAGAACCAGGTAAAGATGCCAGAGGCTACAGTAGAAAACATTGAGAAGATGGAGCAGAAAACAAATCCACAGACTGAAACAGACATGCACGTGCCAAGGGCATAGGTTAATATTACCATTATTAAAAGCAGTGTGGAAAATTGGGGAGCTGATTTAATTATACTCTGACCCGCGCTTGTACTGAGAACAGAGGCAAGGCAAGAATAGTATCAGCTTTGGGGCACCTGGGTGGCTCAGTCGGCTAAGCGTCCCACTTAGGCTCAGATCAGGATCTCACGGTTCGTGAGTCGAGCCCCGCATTGGGCTCTGTGCTGACAGCTCAGAGCCTGGAGCCTGCTTCAGATTCTGTGTCTCTCTCTCTCTCTGCCCCTCCCCTGCTTGCACTCTGTCTCTATCTCTCTCAAAAGTAAATAAACATTTAAAAAAAATTTTTTTAAAGAATAGTGTCAGCTTTAATACTGGTCAAGCTGGATTTAAGAATAAAGCTTTAAAGAAGATGCCTCCCATTACATACTTCCAGGTCTGTTTTTGGGGTTTTGATGTGAGACAGCTAGGTGTGCAGAATAGGTACTTCCCCAACCTACAGTGTGGAGCATCAAAGAGTATCCAACACCCACAGATTACAGGAAAGAATCAAAGAGAGAAAAGCTCTCTAGGCTGCCTCTAGAACAGTGATATCCAACCAGGCTGCAGGTTAGGATTATGGGAGCTTTGAAAACCCTGATGCCTGGACAATACCGATCGCCTTGGAATCTTGAGGTTGGACCAGGCACTGGTACATACTTAAAAGCTCCCAGGTAATCCCAGTGTGCAGGTAAGCCTGAGAAACAGTGCTCTGGGGCTAGGCCTTAACCCATATGTGTTTACAAAAAGGAAGGTTGGAGCAGAAAGAGAGAATATGCATGGGCCTGGGTAAGCAGTCCTCAGAGATGGGGTCAAGATCAGCAGAAACTTTGCTTCCATGAGTCTCTTCAATCCAGTAAGTCATCCTTGCCAGAAGAGGAAAGTGAGGGGGAAGAGACAGGCAGGGGCCCCCTCCCCATGATTTCTGTCAGCAAAATGCCTATTCTGCAGGCCAAGGCAAAAGTGTGGAGAGACAAAGAGTATGCCAGTCCGCCTAACAATAGTCATAACAGCTACATTGACTCAACTCCCACTGTGCACCAGGAGCAGTTCCATCTACTTTTGTACATTTAAACTTTGGAACAATCCTGTGAGGTAGGTCTAATTATCCCCATTTTACCAATGAGGAAATGGAGGCTCAGAGAGATTAAGTCACTTGCCAAGTTCAGGGAAGTAATTGAATCACACACTGCCTGTTTGTCTGGCTGTGGAGTCTATACTTGTCTTGTCATACACAGCTAGTTACTTTTCTACAGAACAGAGAGAGAAACTGAATCCCCAGAGTTCAAACTCTGTGTGTGTGTGTGTGTGTGTGTATGTGTGTGTGTGTGTTTGCATGCGTGCATGCATGGCAGGGTGAGGATCTGTGCTTTGTTTGGGTACTTCAAATGCAATTCTTTTTTTTAATACCCACACATATACTCATAAAATATTGTCTTTCCATTAGACAAGGCACACAAATTTTGGGGGTAGTAGTCTACCTGGGAAACTAGAGTGTTACCTGTGCATGGAAAAGTCTATGATGTTAAACGATGGGCTAAGTTTTCCTAGTGCCAGCAATATACCCAACCAGAACTCATTAATATTGGTGGTGTTCCTCTTGCCTTTAGGAACTGTGAAAGAAATGCCAGGTTTTGTTTGCTTGTTTTGTTTGTTTTAATTTTTTTAATATTTATTTTTGAGACACACACACACACACACACACAGTATGAGTGGGGAAGGGGCAGAGAGACAGGCAGATACAGAATCTGAAGCAGGCTCCAGGCTCTAAGTTGTCAGCACAGAGCCCAATGCAGGGTTTGAACCCATAAGCTGTGAGATCATGATCTGAGCCGAAGTCAGATGCTTAATCAACTGAGCCACCCAGGCGCCTCAAGAAATGCCGTTTTATATACATTTTCCCTGAATTGCTTCTCGGCCTTTTGGCGAAGATCAAGTGTATATACAGTTTCCCTGAAGCTTCCTAGAGTGTGAGAGTTTTGGCATTTGGGTAGAGATTTCATCATCTGGGCCTCCTGCCAGCTGCAACAGAATTGTTCAAACCTCCAGGCTGTTGAAGGCTCTTTGTCAAGGACCTGTGGACACTCTGTTTTGCCAAGGGGTATGATGTTTGCAAGTCAGCAAAAGGAAGGCTTCTGTGTTTCTCAAATGTCCTAGTAGAAATAAAATATCTGTGAAGGAGACCTTGTACAGGATGACTTGAGCCACCCACTTGGCTTTCTCACAGATGAATCGACACATATAATATCTGTGTCACTAATCACATCATCATAACGTAACTTGTACATTTGACAAGATAGGAGGCAAAGAAAGAGCAATAAGCAGTACAGGATGCCATGGCCCCAGAGTTTAGGGAAAAGAGTTTAGGACCAGGATGTCCACAGTTTTTAGCACTTGCCCCAAGTTCTAAAATCCGTAATAATGTTGCAGTGAGAGGGTACAAGCTTGGATGTGATTCAACCATGAGTTGATGACCAGGGAGTCTTCCATCAAAACTATTTTCCTTTTTTTTTCTTTTCAAAACTATTTGTCGGGAATCCTTCATAATGCCCCTGTTTCACTGATGTCATTTTTGATGCCAAAATGATGTCATTTTGGTGGAACTAAATTTCAAACAGTTCAGAATTACAGAATTGGTTATGTTATGCTTCAGTTACAATGCCAATCACTACAGAGGCAAGCTTGAATAGGGCTCTGGGAGTAACCAGGGCAACAGCAGTAAGCAGGTTAGGAACTCCCAGCCTCTTGGTTCACAGTCTTGAGTATAAAGTGACTAAACAGCAAGCCCTTAAGTTAGTCGTGGGTATGTTCAGTACTTTTTTATTTAATTCTAAATATTGTCTGTAAAAAACAATTGTAGCCTCTGGATAAGGCTTTCACTTCTAGCAGATAGACTAGGGGGAGATCACTTTAACTCAGGCCTGCACTGCAGTTATGTAGGGCCTGATCCATTTCAGGTTTGCTCTTACTCCATGGATATGTCGCTTGAAGATCTCAGCTAGCATCTTAGACTGTTTATGAGGGTCTCTTCTCCTTGGAAGACCCTGAAAACTGGCTTGCATCTCCCCAACACCGTGAGAAAGCTCTGCTAAGCAACATAGCCACTTTCCCATCAGTGAATGCCTCAAGAGGAGAAGTAGTTCAGATGGTCTCGCTTCTCTGTAAGATTTCAGCCTCTTGAGTTACTGTGGTCTCTGTAGCCCTAAACTCCCATTTTTACCCCCACCCTACCCCCACCAGGAAAAACTTATGAAAGCTCAGCTCAAATTCTCTGCCTCTTATAAGTCCCTTGATGCTTAGTTTCTCAAGCTCTCCATCCTTGCTGCTCCAGAATCAAGAAGAAGTGCCTTGAAGAGAAAAGCAGTTTAGAATATCAGGCTCATCTCAGTGAGTTTCCCTTCTATCCAGAATTTTGTCCAGCACTGGCTATCTTCATACTTCTCCAAAGCCTTCAAATGCTCTTTTTTTGTGTTTTTATTCAAAGGGAGTACAAATTTTTTTTCCAAAGGGAAATTTGGTTGGCAATACACTAGTCTATCATTACCAGAATGCCAAACTAAGCCTTTTATAATACATTTCACAACTGTCTTAAGCTGTAGGATCCTACAGAACAAAGGTTCTTGACTTAGAGGATGACAGAAGGGGTTCTGCAAAATCATGAAGTCCTGAAATTGTATGTAAAATTGCATCAATGTGTGTAAATACCTCCAAAGGGATACATGACCTAAGAGTTAAGGACCACTGCTATTGAGTATCCACAAATACTCTTTTTATCTTAAGTAAACTTATTACCTATATTGAATATCTAATTTATTAAAGACCTAGTTTACATAGGTCTTGTCCCAGAAAATGGTTCCCTATACTCAGTGCCTAAATACTTGATTTTAAACCAATAAATATTTTTCTATTATCATTTTCTTTTTCTACCATGAAATAACACCATCATAATAATGCCATAGGCCTCTTTAGCACTTGAATGAAGCTCATTTCTAGAACTGCAGTCTAAATTTAGAGAAACCTACCCATAAGACTGAGGTTTTTCTTTTTTCTTTAAGTTTATTTACTTATTTTGAGAGACAGAGTGCACAAGAGAGGCAGGCAGAGAGAATCCCAAGTAAATTCTGTAATGACAGTGCAGAGCCCCACGCAGGGCTTGAACCCACAAACAGTGAGATCATAACCTGAGCTGAAACCAAGAGTCAGATGTTTAACTCACTGAGCCACCCAGGTGCCCAAGATTAAGGTTGTCAGACATAATAATATCCAATACAGGACTATCGATCATGATGGTAGTCCATTACGGACCTATGTTTCCTTTGTGAATCAGGTAAAGTTTGTTTTCTCTTTATAAGTAAACTATGCTTTATTTTCACAGCTTAAGATAATAAATCTTTTGCATTATTACTGTGAATCCACTTTAAACTCATTGGACCTCTCTTTTTGTATAGGCTCTTTAGAGATTTATTGTAGAAAATATATTGCACACAAGTCTCTCTTCATCTTCTTTACATGCTTGGAAATCACTGAATAAGATTAAGCTATGGGGTTGTGAGTCCACTGAAAATCAGCAGATGCACACAAAGGGCAACCTTAAAACAAGCAGAACATTTCCATAGACTGTGTCCTGGAGAAAGATACACTCTAGAGAACAAGGCTAAGAGGAGAACACATTTTTCCCTGTTAGGTCCTTGAAAGTTTCAAAATGCTATAATATCTCATACCCCTTGTCTTGCTCTGACCAGTCTGCCTTTCCAGGGTCCCTGGCCTAGTCTAGGGCTCAGCTGGTAGCCAGGATCCTGCTGCCTTTGGACAGAGTCACCTCTTCCCCACCCAGCTCCACCTCCCCAACCACAAAATGACTTCCTGCCTTCCCTAGACCCCTCACCACATTCAGACCATCTAACTGGAACCTCAAGGAATCTCATCCCTCACTCAGGGATTTTTTTAAAAAAGGGAGCCAGGGAGCTATGGTGGCAGAACTGGAAAAACACCTGGCACATAAGAGGCACTTAAAGAAGA